AGGACAGAGTAGAGTTTAGGGCTGTTGTACATAAGGTTGCTTGCTATGAGTCACAAGCGACTCGATAGCACATAACAACAACAACAACAGGCTCACTTAGCAGTGATTAAGTGTTATCAAGTCGAATATGACTCATAGCGACCCTATGAATAAAATACTTGAACTCTGTCCTATAATTAACATCATTTCTCTATGTGTATTGCTTTTCATAATATTCCACTATTACAGATTTAATTTCTTCTGGTTTAGTTATGATGTCAAATCTATCATTCCTTAATAGAATTATTTGTGTCTTCTCCTTTCTTTTCTTTTTGTTAAGTTTGCCAATGGTTTGTAAATTTTGTTGAACCTTTTGAAAACCAGCTCCTGGTTTTGGATGGTTTCAATTGTGGGTTTTTTGTTTTCTACCTCATTCATTTCAGCTCTTATCCTTATAATTTCCTTTTTTTCTGGAGGCTGTTGTGTTAGATTTGTTGCTCCTTTTCTATTTGAAGAAGGTGTTGAGTTAGATCATAATTTTGCTTTTTCCATTGTCTTTTTATGTGTTGTCTTATCGGTATGACCTGCCCCTTGCAGACTGCCTTAGCGGCATTCCAGAGGTTTTGGTTTGCTGTATTTTCATTACCATTTGTTTTGAAGACTTTTTAAATTCCAGTCTTTATTTCTTCTCTAAACCAATTGTGTTCTAGCAAGGTGTTATTTAGCTTCCCCATTGGTAACTTTATAAACTTTATCTCATGTGGTTAATTTCTAGTTTTATGGCATTGTGATCAGAGAAGAACCTCTCTATTATTTCAATGTTTTTTAATTTGTTGAGGCTTATTTTGTGCCCTAATATTTCATCAATTTTGGAGAATGTGCACTTGAGAAGAAAGTGAATTGAGTTTTAGTTGGGTACGGTACCCTGAATGTATCTACAAGGTTGAGCTGGCTGATAACATAGTTTCGATCTTCTGTATCTTTGTTGAGTTTCTTTTAAGTTGACCCATCCTTTGGTGGAAGTGGTGTGTTAAAGTTTCTTACCACTATTGTGGTGCTGTTTACTTTTTTCCCTTCAATTCTTTTAACAGTTGTTTTATGTATTTAGCAGGTCTTTGAGGTTATATTCTTGATAGCAAGAAAAATACTGATGTGTTAGATGTGGATGGGTATGTTTACTCTTGAAGATTCCAGATCATCTGGTTCTAAAGGAGGCTTAGATTTTCCGCCCTACTCTCATCAGTAACTGTCCCCTGGGAAAGAGGGGTAGAAGAGGCAGAACTCCCTAAATGTCTTGGTAGCCAGGGCTGACACAATGAAGTCAGAATTTTTTCTATTTTTTCCCTTTTCCTAACTCATACCAGTGCAGTTAGCCAAATGCTTACTTGTCTCTTTCAACTTTCTTTTATGAATAAGGAAATCTTGCTTCAAGAAATCTTTCTTAAAGAAATTGCTCTATGTTGGTTTAAAAAAAATCATGGGAAGGGATTGTATAGAAAAAAATTACATGTGCTCATTAAAATAGAGAAGTAAGAAATTTTAACTCATTAAGTTAATTTGTTTTTCTCTAATTTTAAACAACACATATCAAAACACTGATGCAAATAATGCACTTTTGGTTATAATGTGTAGATGGTGGATTAGCAGACACAATCTGCAAACTGTATTTTAGTCTTTAATTATGCTCACTTTCATTTTAAAGTTGTTGTTGTGTACTGTTGAGTCAGAACCTACCTATAGCTGACTCTCCAGTGGGTTTGAAGAGGCAGTAAATCAGACAGGAGGAGATTGCTCATCTTTCTCCTCGGAGCAGCTGATGAATCCAGATTACATACCTTTACATGGGCAGCACAATTCCTTACCACTAAGCCACCAGCATTCCACTCTATAGCATAGGTACACTTAATGTACATTAGGTGTGAAAATGTTGCAAGTTTTTCTGATGGGATGATAGCAAACTGAATATAAAACAGACTAGATTGAAAATGAATGTCCTACCTTCTCTTCTTAGCTTTGATAGAAAACATGTGTTTTGAGAAGAAAGAAAAAAAAATAGTTGTAGGTTTTGCCATCCTGTTAAAACCTGCATGTTAATGAAGAAGCCAAGTGTTGCAGGAACCATGTATGCCTACTTGATTTCCAGAGGCAATTTTTACTCTGATTACCAAGAGAAAAAATTCTATAAAGGAAGCATGCCTTTTGGTCTATAATCTTCATTCCTTTTTCTGCATGGAAACAGGAAATGTTCAGAGGATTACTGAGATCAGAAGGAATTGAACTTGGTTCCCCCTCCTGTGGAGCTGCTGGGGTTTCAGTATGAAAATAATTTTACCCTGTGGCACACACAGTGAGCAAAGCCCTGCCCTCTGTTGACAGGAAACATGGAGACAAGGGAAGGCCATTTAATCTAGGAGAAAAAGTGATGAAAATTCAGACTTTATCTATAAGTTAACCAAAAGTCTTTAAATCTGCCTTGCCAGTTGTAAATCTCATATGCTAGTCTGTGTCTGATGATTACACACACACACACACACACACACACATTGACACACTGTTGTTAGGTACTCTCAAGTCAAGTATGACTCAAAGCAACCCATGAACAACCTGTGAAGATCTGAACCCTGTCCTATCCTGTGTCATCCTCATTATCTCTGATACATTTGAGCCCTTTGCAGCAGTCACTGAGTTAACCCATCCTGTTAAGGGTCTTCCTCATTTAAAGGATATTTGTAGATGTTTCTCCTCATTCTGGTTTATTTCCAATCTAGGCTGTATCTCTAATTTAATAGCTATCTGTGTTCCTCCATTGTTCAAAAGGTTTTCATAGGCCTTTTTCAGAAGGGGATGGCCAATCCTGCTTCCTAGGTTGTCTTAATTTGAGAGGTCTGCTGAAACCTGTCCACCAAGGGTGAACTTTCTGGCATTTTGCACACCAGTGGCATAGTTCATAAACGTGTATTTTTCACTAGATAGGTCAGAACCAAGAAAAGTACTCCAAATTATTATACCTTAAAAAAACTTAACATATAAATTTGATGAGAACAGAAAACAAAGGAAATTAATAACTGTGTCAGTTGGATGAGGATAACTCAATGTTTTTGCTGTTGTTAGGTGCCATTGAGTCAACTAACACAGTGATCTTATGAACAATGGATCTGAATCTTGTGGTACTGTGAGCCATTCTCACAAGCTCTGTTATTTGTGAGACCACTGTTTCATTCACTTTGTTCATCTGTCTTTTTGAGGGTCTTACTCTCTTTCTCTAACCCACCACCTTTCATAGCATGGTGCTGTTTTGCAAGGACTGGCTCTCTTGAGACTGTGCCCAAAATGAGATGAAGTTTCACCATCTTTGCCTCTAAGGTGCACCTTGGCTACATTTCCTTCAAGGCACATTTCTTTTTCTTAGCGGTGCCCAATTTTTCATGTAGAAATATAGGAGTAGAAATATAGCAGGGATAAGCAATAGCTCTGTATTCATACATGCGTATGTGAGAGCTCTTTAATAATAAGATCAAACTAGAGATCCATAAACTAGAGGGGCACTTCCACATGACACCGGGAGATTTGAGATGTATCTCTAAGAAAAGTATCTTTGAGAGGAAAAAGTAAATAGTAGATAAAGAAGCTTGAATCCATCACTGGTTAATGCAGATTATCAAGTGCCAAAAGCATTAACCTAGAAAGGCTGACCGCAGAGAATTGTCTGAAATTCATACCTGGAACATTATATAATACAAATAGATGCAATGTTTAGAAAGAGCAGCCATCAGGGACTTTTGCTTTAAAACCTGGAAAATTATACTGATGAATAAGATGATCAGGCAAAGCACGGAATCCTGAGGAAAAAAAAACTGTTTAGAAATTCAGCACTGTAACTGTCTATGGTGCTTTACCTGAGACCAAAAGATCTGTAATACGGAGAACTATCTTAGGACTGCTGGGTAAATGAGAATCATTTCAGTGATAATATTAATATTACAAGGGTTTGAATCTACCAGCTGGTCCATGGCAGAAGGAAAGGCAATCTCCTTCCGTGTGATTTACCACCTCTGAAAACCTGCTGGAGGGTCAGCTATGGGTTGGTTGTGACTTGATGGCACACACCACCACCACCACCACCACCACCACAACCATCCATATGTTGAAATTAACTAGTGACTTACTACTGTTTGATTTAGTCTCTTGTTCATTGCCCACTGCTAACTAAACTACCATGTAAATATAATTTACATTATCAATTTAGAAACAATTGAAACAGGTGGATATTACGTAGTCATATAATTATTTTCTAGAATAGAGTTCTGTTGAAGGATTTCACTGCATGACTACAAACAAACTTAAGAGGTTTATTCAAATTACTAGATACACAAATATCTGTCGTGGAAGAGATATACGAATCAGACCTGAGTTCAAACAGAAAACTACTCAGCTAAGTCAACTTAACACGATTACACAGAATCCCACTAAATCTCAGCTTGTCAGTTTCATTTAATTTCATTTTGCTCTTCCATATGACAGAATTTATATGTTTAACTTAAATAATTATAAATATGTCTATATATAAAAATCAGGTCTTGAAAATCCATTAAATTAGCATTATAATGATTATGCTAGCATTTCTATTCACAACCTAATGGTTTATTAATTTAATACTCATTTTAAAGGTTTTAGTGAACTCAGAATGTGTTTTGCCTTGGGAGAAAAACTCAATTTATCATTCTGTCAGTCTTAAGAAATATTATCTTGAGGTCCAAACCATCTTTAATGAAATGGAAAACTGAATGTTGAACTAATCTTTAAATGCAAAAGAGAATGTCCTACTCAGAACACAAATCTTTTATTTTGCTGCTTTTAAGAGACATGTTGAGCTAAGTAAATCTATGTCTGTGTGGGCATGGACATACAGACCCCATGCATACCCACATCCTTATAGAGGAAAAAAGTGCTGAGAGAGACCTAAGAGCAAGAAACATCAGATTAAGCACACCCAAGAAAGACAATCAAAAGTTTATACTCACCATCAAATTCTGCAGGTCCAACACCTACTATAATTATGGACATTGGAAGTTTTGAGGCCTTTAAAGAGAACATGTAATTAGGTCACAGTATTTTTCACAATGAAAAACATAAAATTAAAAAGAAAGCTATGGCAGTAATGAGTCAAACAGGTAGAAAACAATATTCAAATATTTATTTTAAAAATATCTCAATTGTTCATTCAAATAGCCTTTGAACACATTGAAAACTGTTGACCGCAGTGATTCCACACTCTTCCTTTGCAGACACTCCACATAATGCTAACCTGGGGTGTGGGGGGGTATTTGTCAAGCATGACCACCTCTGGATAAGAGAAAATAAAAAGCAAGGAGCATCTGCTTTTTGCTACTCTCAGGCCAAATCTTCCTGAGCTGACTTTGAGTATGTTCAGTCTCTTTTACATTCTTCTTGCAAAACACCTTACAGCTCAGCTGTTAAAGAGAGAGAGGTTCCAGATTTGTGAGTGGTCTTCTAGGCTACCTCATTTATAAACCAAGGTTAAGGAAAGCAATCTTCATAGTAAATGAGCAACCATAAATGATCATGACAGAAAACTATTCTTAGCATTATTAATTTACATATTAAATATCCATGAGATTGTGAAGGAGATGGAATACTTAATTCATTAACCTTTCCCCCATACATATCACTGTAAGTTATATCATCACACTAAATCAGAAAATTATTAAATCGGGAAATGTCAAGAAAGTAAGATGCAAACACCACAATGACATCTACAGAAGTCAATGAACTACAGATAATTGTTTTTTAGGGCTGCATGTCCTGATAGCTTAAACCTAAATTATTAGGTTCATATATTAAAGTGCATACTAACAGAAACGACTAGCACATTTTTAAAAAATAGATAAATTTAATATAAATCTATCTAGTTAAAAAAACCTGACAAGCTTTTCCCTGTCCTCATTTTAATATTTTTTCCCTAAGAAGATGTCTATAGTACATTTAATAATTTTTTCCCTCCCCACATGAAATTAATTATCTTTCTCTCCCAACAAACAGGTTATTCTATTCCTTCTATGCTATTAATAATTACAAGGCTGGGCAAACAATTTATTCACACAGCCCATATTTATCAAATGTCTACTTTCCAAACATTGCTAAACCTGGAACTAGTAATTTGAGCAAAATAAGGTAGAATAATTGCTCCCTTGAAGATTAAGGTATGTGAAGACAATCAATTAAATAATCATGAAAAATAAACACATAATGGGGAATCAAAATGAGCAGGATGCTTTATGAGTAAATCTAACCCCTGACCAGTATAAAGTAATTGTTGTTGTCATTAGGTGTCATCAAGTCCCAACTCATAGTGACCCTATGAACAACGTACCTGAACCTTGTCCTATCCAGCACCATTCTCATCATTTCTGCTATGCTTACACTGACTGTTACAGCCACTCTCTTCCTCACTTTTGTTCTAATACTTTCCAGCATGATGTCTTTTTCCAAGCATGCAGCCCCTCCTGACAACATGCCCAAAGTGTGTGAGACAAAACTTCAATATCTTTGCCTTAATGGAAATAGTAATTAATATTGTTATGTGCCAATGAGTCAGAACCAACTTGGAGCTGACACTCCAGCAAGTTTTCAGTAGCTGTAAACTGCAAAAGAATTGATTTCTCATCATTCTCCTGAAGAGCAGCTAGTGGATTTGAACTTCCTGCTGTTAGGTTAACGTACAACTCCTCACTACTAGGCCACCATATAGCCACATGTAAGTGTTACAATATAGTATGTATAATAACTGTTATGTTATGTCCAGTTGCCTGCGCCTCATAGTGACCCTATATACAACAGCCCTAAACCCTACTCTATCTTGTGCCAATCTTATTATCTCTGATACACCTCCCCCCCATTACCCTACTTACTGAATCAATCCATCTCCTGTGCTGTCCCTCCACCCTCCCAAGCATGACATCCCTCTCCAAGGACTGGTCCCGCTCTGCAACATGTCTAAAGTATGTCAGATGAAGCTTCAGAATCCTTGCCTCCAAGGAGCAGGCTGGCTTCACCCTCTCTAGGATGAACCTGTCTGTTTTCTTAGCAGTCTGTGGTATATTCAACACTCTTCTCCAGCACCACAGCTCAAAGGCAGCAGTTCTTCTTCTATCACCCCTAGTCATTGTACAGCTCTCCGATGCATAGCAAGTAATTGCAAAGACTATTGCCTGGATAAGGCACACCTTTGTCTCATGGCTGATATCACTGCCCTTCAGTACTTCGGAGAAGTCCCTCACAGCAGACTTTTCCTATCCAATCTGTCTTTTTACTTCCTGGCTGCTGATTGGCTTCCTGATTGTGGAGCTATGCAAACTAAAGCTGTTGACAATCTTCACCATCTATCATGATGCTGCCAGTTGGCCCAGTAGTGAGAATGTTTTCTTGATATTGAGCTTCAATCCATATTGAAGGCTGCAGTCCCTGACCTTATGCAGCAAGTGCTTCAGGTCCTCCTCAGTTTCAGCAAGCAGGTCTGTGTCATCTGCATAATGCAGATTATTGATGAGTCTACCTCCAATCCTGATGCCACATTTCTCCTCACAGAGCCCAGCCTCCCGGATAATCTGGTCTGCATACACATTGAAAAGGTATGGAGATAGGACACATCCCCGGCGTAGACTCTTCTCAATTTTGAACCATGCAGTGTTTCCTTTGTTCTGAAGACTGCTTCCTGGTCCAAGAATAGGCTTCGCATAAGCACAATCAAGTCCTCTGGGATTCCCATTCTTCTCAGAGTTAGCCACAGTTTGTTGGGATCCACACAGCCAAATGCCTTTGCATAGTCAATGAAACACAGATAGATATTCCATGGGTACTCTCTGCTTTCAGCCAAGATCCATCTAACATTAGCTGTAATATCCCTACAACCACGGCCTCTTCTAAATGAAGGCTGCACATCAGGAAGTTCTCTGTTGATGTGTTGCTCCAGTTGTTTATTGGATAGTCTTCAGCAGACTCTTGCTTGTATGTGATACCAATGATATTGTTTAATAATTTCTGCACTCTGTTGGGTCACATTTTCTTTGGAATTGGAACAACATAGAGCTCTTCCAGTCAGTTGGCCAGGTGGATGTCCTCCAGATTTCTTGGCACAACTTGGTGAGCACATCCAGGGCAGCATCTGTTTGTTGAAATATGTCAATTGGCATGCCATCAATTCCTGGGGCCTTGTTTTTGCCAATTCTTTCAGAGCAGCTTGAACTTCTTCCTTCTTTACCACAGGCTCTTGCTCATATGTTGTTTCATGAAATTCTTCCATGTCCACCAACTCCTTTTGGTACAATGACTCTGTATATTGTTTCATCTTCTTTTAGTGCTTCCTGGATCATTTACTATTCTGCCCAAAGCATCCTTAAGTATTGCAACTCGAGGCTTGAATTTGTTCTTCAAGGCATGTGGGTGGCAGGACTGTATTTTAGTAAGACTGTATATAAATAGGTCAAGCTAAGAGAAGTGTGGAACCAAGCAAGCGGAAATTATTATAAATTTCAACCTCTTCTCCATCTATCACAGATCTGCCAATTGGCCCACTATGAGAATTGGCCCAGTGGTGAGAATCTTTGTCTTCTTGATGTTGAGCTTCAATTCAAATTTATGACTATAGTCTTTGACCTTCTGCAGCAAATGCTTCAGGTCGTCCTAAGTTTTGGTAAGCAAGATTTTATCAACACAGGTTGTTGATGACTCCTCCTCCAATCCTGATGCCACATTCCTCCTCATAATGCCCAGCATCCTGAATTATATGCTTTACATGGAAATTGAAAAGATATGGAGACAGGACTCATCCCTGATATGATCCTTTCTCCATTTTGAACAATGCAGCGTTTCCTTGCTCAGTTTTGTTTTCTGGTCCAAGTATAGGTTTTGTATGAGAACAATTAAGTGCTCTGCATTTGTTATTCTTCTCAAGGTCAGTCACAATTTGTTGTTATCCACACAGCCAAATTCCTTTGCATAGTCAATGAAACACAGACATTCTTCTAGTATTCTCTGCTTTCAGCCAAGATCCATCCAACATTGGCTATGAGATCTCTAGTGCCACGACCTCGTCTAAATATAGATTGTATTTCTGGTAGTTCTCTGTCAATCTACTGTTCTAGTCAATTTTGGATAATGTTCAGCAGGATTTTGCTTGTGTGTGAGATCAGTGATATTGTTTGAGAATCCCCACACTCTGTTAGATCACCTTATTTTGGAATGGGAATAATATGGATCCTTTCCAGTCAGTTGACCAGATAGTTGTTCTCCAAATTCTTGGCACAACCTACTAAGTATGTCTAGGGTAGCATCTGTTTGTTGAAATATGTCAACTGATATTCTGTCAATTCTCAGGGCCTTTTCTTTCTTTTTTTTTTTGTTACCAATTCCTTCAGAGCAGCTTAAACTTTCTCCTCCCCAATCAACACTCTTGGTTTCAGCAGTCAGGAAATCAAAAGACAAATTGCATTGGGGAAATTTTTGTCAGAGACCTCTCCTGAGAGGTGAAGAGCAATGATGTCAATCTAGAGACTAAGATGTGTCTGATCCATGTAATAGTCTTCATAATTACTCACTACACATCAGAGAGCTGGGCAATGAACAGGAACGAGAAAAGCAGAATTAATGCCTTTGAGTTATGATTCTGGAGAAGTGTACTGAATATCCCATAGTCTGCCAAGGGTACAAATAGGTCTGTCCAGGAGAGGGTAAAAGCAGGCTGATCCTTGGAGACAAGGATACTGATCCTACTTACTTTGGGCATGGTCTCAGGAGGAACGAGTCCTGGTGCAAGAGAGGAAGACCCTGAAAGAGATGGATTGACACAGCAAGTGGGGTAATAGGGGTAGGTATGTCAGAGACAGTGAAATTGGTTTAGGATAGTACAGAGTTCATAGCTTTTGTGCATAGGGCAAGTATTAGTTACAGGTCACCTGATGGCGCTTAACAACAACAAAGGACGTGCACTACCCTCACCCTAAGTATAGGAAAATACAATTATTACATTGGCCTTCAAATGGATTCTGACTCAGGGTGGCCTCATCTGTTACATAATAGAATGTTCCACAGTACTTTCTTGGCTGTGATCTTTACAAAAGCAGACTATGTGGTCATTTTTCCACAGTAATGCTGGATGAACCTGAATTGTTGTCAAGTTAAGTGTGACTTATAGAGACCCTATGAACAACAGACCTGGCCTTGTCCTACTCTGTGCCATCCTCACTCAAGTGTATCTCCAATACACTTGAGGCCCATCATTGTCTGTGTCAATTCACCTCCTTGAGGGTCTTAACTGTTCTTCACTTCCCATCTATCTTTCCAAGCATGATGTCCCCCTCCAAGAAACATTCAATGAAGTATGAGAGATGTAGCTTCATCATCCTTGCTTCTAATTAGCACTCTCGCTGTGAATTTGAATCAGCAAACTTTAACAGTCAAGTTAAAACTGCCCTCGTCACAAGAACACTGAGAGAAGCTAATATATTTTCAATTATCTCAAGGATGGAAGAATTCTGGCACACTTAAATTTTCCTTCAGAACCTGAGTGGCACAGGACATAATGTATTGGGTGCTAAGTGAAAAGGTGGCAGTTTCAATCCACCAGCTGCTCTGAGGGATAAAGATGGGCAATATTCTCCATAACGATTACAGCCTGAGAAAGCTGTTGGAGGGTCAATATGAGTGGGATTCAACTCAATGGCACTGGATTTGGTTGTAAGTACATGTACTCCTTAGCCTTGTCCCACTGTATCCATAGGACAGATTTATAAATTTTGTGGATAAAGTTAAGAATGTTATTGTTGCAAACACATGGGTCTTTCCCCCTAACTGCTAAGTCAACTAAAGCAGACTCTAATGTCACTAATCTACATGGTGTCAGGCTGTCATTTGGTCAGCCCAACACTCAATGGCTCCTACTTACGTTAACAATGGACTCTTTAGTTTGAGCCATATCTGAGATAACACCATCTGTCACGATCAGGAGGACAAAATACTGGGAGCCATCTTTTACAGAAGAAGCATATCTGAAAAGGCAACAAAAAGGAATTACACAGTAAGAAAATTGTTTCTCTCTACTAGGCGGTTACTAAATAAAATTTAGAATAGTCAGCACACCTTTAAATCTCTAAAAAATGTTTAAACATCTGCTAGAAGCCTACATTGTGCAAACTCTTACACAGACTTTCTCCTGAAACAGCACACCATCTGACAGTAGAATAACTGCAGCGTTAATACCTGCTGACACACAGAAATGCATGGTCGCCTTAGAAATTCATTCACTAATGAAAGATGAGTTGACTGAGAGTCTGTTTAGCACACAGGAATGGACATGGCCTTTGGCATGAACTTATCCTGCCTACGTCACACAACATGTGTAATCTTTAGCAAATAATTAAATTCTCAGAATCTTATTTTCTTTGTTCTACAACGGAGATAATAACACATCTTCTCACTGTTAAATTAGTAAAGAAATTGCATGTATGAGATTCAGTGTATTATAAAGTTCTATAGGGACAGCAATAGTAAAAAAATACTTTTTAGTACATTCACAACTCAAGTTTGTAATATACTTTATATCAGAAGAAGAGAGGAAGGAGGATTAGACAAAGGAAAGACAAAAATGAGGATATTAGAATATGTCACAGCAGTGTTTATCAGAATTGTCAATGAATGATATTCAGTGATTGGACAGAAGATTTATGAATATGGTCTACTGTATGAAATTTCTTTTTCTCCAGTGTTCTATATTCTCTGTATGTAGATTATAACCTGAACAATAATCGTTATGGTTTCTGGTACACAATGATGAGATTGGGGTAGATGTGACAGAGACAATATGATTGGCACAAATAGAGCAGGTTTTAGGGCTGTTGTACATAGAGTGGCTATGAGTCACAGGTGACCCAACAGCACATAACAGCAAGAACAAGTACACAAAGGTAGGCAGTTCTCACTGTGCAATGGGTAAGCAATTATGATGATATCAAGAGACAGGAGAGTAGACAAGAAGACTTTGTTAAAAATTTCCAACAATTTTATGAGAGATTACAGAGATACACAGTTCAAAAAAACGTGCACAAACTGATCAATAAAATTTCTTCATGACCTGAAAAATCCTTAGGTATCCAGTTTGCAAAAATGGTGGTCAGACCACCAGTATAATATGATACGGCACCATTTATTTCTTAGACAGAAGAAGTAACAGCTGTAGGGCAGAAACAAGAAAACTTTCCCATAGATTACAGAAACTCGTAGTTGCTGATGCTACTACTAAAACCAATGATACTTTTGTAGATTGATCGTAATAATAGTATTGAACTGATTTTGAAGTCATAATCACTCATACTATTGAACCACAAATTCTAAAAGTCACAGAATATGTAATAATACTGCACTGCAATCCTGAAATTATGTGGTTTGAATGCACAAGCTGATTCATGGGAGAAGGATGGGCAATCTCCTCCTCTACGATTAATTGCCTCTAAAAACCCATTGGATGGTCAGCTATCTAGCAATGCTGACTTAACAGCACACAGCAATAACAAACAATACAACTAGTAAGGAGTTATAAGGGCCACTCCATAAGAAGCTGCAGTGCTAACCTCAAATCATGCCTGTCTGTGATTCAATGCCAGCAGCTCAGCAAGAGAAAGATAGGCAATCTCATGCCATGAAGTCTGCAGCCTTAGAAACCCAATGAAGGATCAGCCTATGAGTCACCTCTGACTGGATGGCAATGATAGAAGGAGGGAGAATGTGATGCAAAGGAAGAAACTCAACACAAATATGAACTAACTCTTCTATTCTATGCTTAATGTGTGGGGTTCTAGTTTTACCTGAAAATCTTTTAGGAATTCATTTTCATATTTAAATACCCAGTATTTATGGGAAGTAAGGTTTTCCTACTGGCTTCACTTCTGTAACTTAAGATTTTGTATTTCATGTGGTAATGGAAGACTATGAATAATAGTGAGAAGATGGGATTTTTATGGGGTGTTTTTAAATTTTATACTGATTTATTTACAAAGTTTGAGTACATTTTTTCACATTGTATCTTTCCCATTTCCTTCACCCTCCCATCCAATTGTGAGACCCTATGATTAACCACACCTGCCTCCAGCCCATCCTCACCCCTCTGCATCCACCTTCATCCCCTTGGATCCTCATACTCATTCTACAATAACGATTGCATACAGTATTTGTCTTTATGGGACTGAGTTAGTTCACTCAGCATAATATTCTCCAGTCTCTCTCAAGTTAGGTAGTGATTTACAAAATCATTGCTTCATCAAGTGAATGTACTAGAATTGTGAGAAGGGTGTATGAATAAAATAGTGTGGTTTATTTTTTTTCTTAGCAAATGTGTTTTTAAATGTGGTAGATGTTTATACTATTCAAAACACAGATTTTTCAGTATTACATCATCACCTAAAATATCATTCAGTGACTTAAATATCTCATGTTTCTTTTGATTCACCAGAACATATATCTAACAGAAGAGAATATAGTCATACTACCAAGATTGCCAGGGATAGAAACTGAAGAAGATCATAGTAAATTTGGAATTTCTGTGAAGTTTGTTGTTTCATCTTAAAATTTCACAGGAAATTTGCATTTTACTTTATAATGTTTAAGAAGCCCTGATGGCACAAAATATTACATGTTGGACTGCTAATACAAAGTTTAGTGGTTCAAATCCACTAGCAGCTTGTTGGGAGACACAAGGGAAATCTATACCATAAAGATTTTAAACCTCTGAAACCTGCTGGTGTGTCACCCTAAATGGTAACTGAATTAACAGCAATGTGGTTGGTTTGGGTTTTTATAATATATACCTATTCTGCATATAGACTGAAAAGGTATGGAGACAGGATGCATTCCTGACAAACTCCTTTCCTGATTTTGAACCATGCAGTGTTTCCTTGCTCTGTTCTGGGGACTTCTTCTTGGTCTGAGTATAGTTTTGTATGAGTACAATCAAGTGTTCTGGGGTCCCCATTCTCCTCAAGGTTAGCCACAATCTGTTGTGAAGCAGAGAGTCTAATGCTTTTGCATAATGAAACATAGAAAGTCATTCCTCTGGTACTCTTTGCTTCCACCCAAGATCCATCTGACCTTGGTGACAATGTCTCTAGTGCCATAGACTCTACTAAACTCAACTTCAATTTCTGGTGGTTCTCTGTTTACGCACTGTTCCAGTTGTTTCTGGACAATCTTCAGCAGGATTTTGCTTGTGTGTGATATCAGTAATATTATTCTTTAATTTCCACACTCTGAAGGGTCACCTTTGTTGGGATTAGGAATAATTATTGATCTCTTCCAGTCAGTTGGCCATATTTGTTGGCAGAACCTGGTGAGCATGTTGGCTCAATCTGGTAAGCACGTCCAAAACAGTATATTTTTGCTGAAATATGTCAACTGATATTCCATCAATTCGTAGGGCTTTGTTTTTTGCCAGTTCCTTGAGAGCAGCCTGAACTTCTTCCTCTTGATCATAAGTAGTTTCATGAAATTTTTACTGGTACAGTGACTCTGTATACTCTTTTTATATTCTTTTAATGCTTCCTAGATCATTCAGTATTCTGCCCATAGTGTTCTTAAGCACTTCAACTTGAAGCTTAAATTTGTTCTTTAGTTCCTTCAGTTTAAGAAATGCTGAGCAAGTTTGACCTTTTGAAAAGATCTTCCAAGCAACAAATGCTGGCGAGGTTGTGGAGAAATTAGAACCTTTATTCACTGTTGGTAGGAGTGTAAAATGGTGCAACCACTGTGGAAGGCGGTATGGTGCTTTCTCAAAAAGTTGCACATAGAGATACCATTTGACCCAGCAATTCCACCACTGGGAATATACCCCAAAGAGACCATAACTGACATCCAAGCAGATATATGCACACCCATGTTTATCGTGACTTTGTTCACAATAGCAAGGAGTTGGAAATAACCCAAGTGTCCATCAACAAATGAATGGATAGAGAAGCTGTGGTATATTCATACAATGGAATACTACACTGCATTGAAAAACAAGGAACTCATGCAATATTGTGCAAAATGGGTGACCCTGGAGGACTTTATGCTGAGTGAAGTACCTCAGTCATAAAAGGACAAATGCTGCATGGTGCCACTGTTGTAAAACCGGACTCACCTTGGGGTTGGGGGGAGACTGAGAAAGATGGGTTCAATAATGTATATTGCACTGAAACATATGAGGGGAAAACTGCTTAAGAGGGATAGATTATTAGGTATTTTTGCCATGACAGGAGTCCAGAGCGAAGGCTGTATAGTGGAGTGGACCTGGGGGGAGGGATTGTAAAACAATTAAAGAATTTTTCTCTAACTTTTCCAGAAGTGTACTGGGGGGAGGGTTGGGAGGGGAGAAAAGTGCAAAAATGAATGAATGGAAATCCAAAGCCTCTGTAAATTTTCATGGAAATTAATAATCAATTTTAAAAAGTAAAAAAAAAAATCTTCATACCTTTTCAATCTTTATGCAGAACAGATCACTCAACAAACTGGGCTTTATTAAGGAGGAATGTAGCATCAGGATTGCAGGAAAACTTATCCCAAAAACCTACAATATGCAGATGACACAACCTTGCTTGTCAAAACTGAGGAGGACCTGAAGTGCTAGTGCCATAAAATCAAGGTGTGTAGTCTTCAGTATGGATTGAAGTTCAACATCAAGAAAACAAACGTTCTCACCACTGGGCCAAATGGCAGCACCATGATAAATGGATAAGAAATTGAGGTTGTTAACAATCATAGCTTGCTCAGCTCCACAACCAACACTCTTGGTACCGGCAGTCAGGATATCAAAAGACAGATAGCATTAGGTAAATTTGCTGTCAGGGACTTTTCCAGAGTACTGAGACGCAATGATGTTAGCCAGTCTAGAGACTAAAGTGCATCTGATCCAGGCCATGGTCTTCACAATTACTTGCTGCTATATATCAGAGAGCTGGACAATGACTAAGGATGACTGAAGAATAATCGATATCTTTGATGCTAGAGTATTGAACTGGACTGC